TGTTTTCTGCCTCAGCCTGATGAGTATCGATGTAGATGAACCCCATGGCAGTTTGTCCTGCCCTGTGGTGTTCTCAGGAGATGCATTGGAGATGGCATGGCGAAGGTAGGATGGGAATTCCAGAGAGGGGGTCCTAAGCATTACAGAATTTAGGGACACCCTTTTCATAGCATCCTGGCCACGCCTCATTCTCCTAGAGAACAGAATTCTTCCAAGGCGGCTAAGTCAGGATGAATTCTGATGTCACCATCTTCCCTGGAAACCATCAATCACTCTAGTCTTTAAGCCAGTTGCTAAGTAGGACCCTTGTGTGCAAGATTCAGCTAGTCAACAACTATTGTTGAGTGCCTACTATGTGCCAGGAGGTATTCTAGGAACGAGGGATACAGCAGTAGAGAACACAGGCAGTTTCTCACTCAAGAAGGAGATGCTAGCTTTTCTTATGTAGGATTTGCCCTCGGGACACCAATGTCCTTTCAGGCAATATGGCTTCCATTAGGTCCCCTATAAATTCATTAGCTGTAATCAATGTAGGTCCTACTCTCCACTGTGGGTTAAGTTCCAGCACTTTTTCTCAAAAGAAACTTAGCTGTCTGTGTACTTGGCTTAATGCTGTGACTCTAGACTTGGACTGCCAGGGTTCAAGTCCTGACCCCGCTCCTCACTCATCACTGACCTTGGACAAGATGCTTAACCTTTCATGCCTCAGCATTTGTAAAGCAGGGTAATGATAATAGTTAACTTACCATATGCCATGGACTGGTCAAGTGTTGTAGATGTATTAACTCAAGAACCCCACAACTATCTTTTGCAAAAGGCATTTTTAATACCCAGTTTTACAGTCAGGAAACTAAAGGACAGAGATAGCCAGAAATGGCCAATTATGAGATTGTCGAAGAATTTAAAGTAAAGAGCATTGGAAATGGCCAATGGATTGTATTGTTATCACTAGAAATGATAATTTTGAAGTAGGATACCAAGTACTAGATAGAGGCAAACCTTCATTCTGATGAAAGGCACATAGAAAAATTAGAAGAAAATATATTAAAATACTAATAGGTGACTTTTTCATATTTCTGGAGACTTCTTAATCAAGGCTTTCAAATCGTTTATTATGAATATGCATTTTATTAATATTCAGGGAAAATAATACTAAAAATTCTGGGAGAAAATAAATTAGGAAGCTTGTCTTCTGTCTAAATATTTTCAGAAGCCACTTCCTGTTGTCCCTGGTGACAATTCTGCATTCTCCTCTTGAGGGTCCTGGGCTTAGGGGGCCCTCCCAAGGCCACCTGATTTGGTGACCCCAATTCCCAGGGCCAAGAGAAGGCCTTCAGGCAACCTGAGTTTCTCCTGTGAATCGCAGATCCCATTACTCACTTAGCTTCATTATATCTTTAATTATGACCTTCTAGTCTAAGTGAAAAAGAAGTATAATTTTGCTTTAAGAGATATGCCAGGCCTACGCTCCCAACATTTCCAGGTTTCATAGAAATTGCAGGGATCATAGAAATTTAACCTGATAATTACTTCAATATTTCAAGGCACACAATTTTACTCTCTTAGAATAATTATGGGTTGTTGTTTTTCCTTCCAAATTCTTTTATTTCTCCATTATTACAGGTTGTGTTCATTTCTGTTGTATCTGCCTAGAGGCAGAAGAATGCAGGACATCCTTAGATACTCTGATCCACAGCATCATATTGTTAAAATGTGTTGTTTTTTTATTCTCTCCTATTACTATTTCCCTTAAACTATAAATCTTATGTGGAACAGGAAAACATGTTTTGATTTTGGACTCCTTATCAAAAATGCTTGGGATCAGAGAGTTTTGGATTTGGGATTTTTTTTTTAATACTTGCATATTCATAATGAGATCTCTTGGGGACAGGACCCAAGTCTAAATACAAAATCATTTATGTTTCATAGACACCTTGTCTACACCTGAAGGTAACCCACATAACCATTTTTGTAATTTTGTGCATGAAGCGAAGTTTCATGGTGTTTAGTTTTCCACTTGGGGTATCTGTCAGTGCTCAAAAAGTTTCAGATTTTGGAGCATTTTGGATTTTGGATATTTGGATTAAGGATGCTTGATTTATATTTGCTTTATTCTACCCACAGTGCTTATAATGATACTGAGTGCCTGGTGGACATGTAATAAATATATTTGGAATGAGTAACTGAGCCAATATTTAGAAGCAGATAGACTAGTTGCATTTGTTTTGTTTTGGTTTTTGGTTGTGTTTTGTACTTGACCATGAGCCACATCCCCAGCCCTTTTCATTTTTTATTTTGAGACAGGGTCTTGCTAAGTTGCTTAGGGCCTCACTAAGTTGCTTAGGGCTTCACTAAGTTGCTGGAGCTGGCTTTGAACTTGTGATCCTCCTGCCTCAGCCTTCCAAACTGCCGGGATTACAGGCATGCACCACCACACTCAGCTGCATTTGTGTATTCTAAAGCAACCTGGCTGATGTCAAACTCCTGTCACATGCCCCCCATGGATAGGCAGCACAGATCACCATTGCCTTGGGGAAATACTGGAACAAGAAGTGTTTCAGAATTCACAATTTCTAAATTTCATAAAAATATCTTATCTAATCCCTCAAAATTGAGGCAGCATCCCATGATCTAAAAAAGCAAAGTGACATATTTAGCTGTGAAAATGTATGAATGAGTACACTGTGGAAGCTAAATAACTATAAATGACCTCAAGACAAGTCAGATGACTTTTTATGCTAAATAATTCAGAGCAAGACTAATTCTGCTGTCAAGCAAGTTAGGACTTTTGGTTTCCAAAGCTTTTTGGAGTCTGATATTGCAGTGAAGGACCTGCAGGCCTACCTAACCCCCAGGGACTTCAGTGTGGGCTTCAGAGCTGACCTTGCTTCATCCTGGTCTGCCACTTACTGTTATAATCTTGGGCAAATTATTTCTATTCTTTGTCTTCTATCTTCTCATCTCTAAGTGAAAATAATGATGAGACCTAACACACAAGGTCGTTATGAGGATTTTCAAAGAGTTAATACATAACATATAACCCATAGGAAGTGATCAGTAAATATGAACTATTAACCTGTTTCCTAATTTTGTGATGCAAATGAACAGCTTGTGAGACAGGAATTATTTTAGTCATTTGACAGGTGAGTAAACAGAAAGCTGGGCAGGTTAAGAACCAGCCCAAAGTCACACAATGGGCCCAGATGGGACAAGGACTAGAAATCCCACTCTAGTGTCCTGTCCATGACACCAGCTCACCGATATCCTTGTTGTATCTCACCGATATCCTTGCTGTATCCTTTCAAGATGCCTTTTGTCAGCTATTATTCTCAGCTTCCCCCTACCCCAGCACAGAATTTTCGAGAAAGCAAATTAAAAGCCCAGGAAAAATGGAAAGTGATTAGATGTGCATTTTATGAGCAGGTTCCCTCTCTCTTCTCTCTCCTTTCTCTCTCTTTTTGTTGAAAAGCAAGAGGCAAAAAGAACTTGGCATCATTTCCGTCATGTCGATTCTTCTGGGTTTCTCAAATGTTATGATCCCTGGAAAGCCAGGATTCATGCTTACCTCCACTCTTCATTAAGGCAGCCGTGGCCGGGAGACGGGGGAGGCAGGCTGCTGGTGCCGTGGGTGGGCGTGCTGAATAACACCAGAACCACAGCTGTGGCTGCCCTTGTCGAGTGCCAGCCTGCCTTACCCAGTCTGTTCTTGCCTGCTACCTGGCCCTCGCCCATCTGCTGCAGAATTCATAAAGTGCTGAAGATCACAAACATCTGAACCTATTATGGGTAACATACTTCAATTACATTCTGATTGTGGGCTTGGCTTCCCCTGTGCCTGGTGTATGTATAATGGTGTAAAGATCAAATTCTCCTCGAAAAAGAAGTACTAATCTCTAGGTAGTTCTGTCATGGGGCGGGGGCGTGCTTAAGAAAGAAGCTGTTCTCCTATGTGCTGCTTTGTGTCATTTAGTTATCTGCAAGGGTACCCCAGATGTAAAGGAAAGATGAGAGAGAGAGAGAGAGAGAGAGAGAGAGAGACAGAGAGAGAAAAGTGTCTTAAGTCTTTTCACAGGAACCTCCCACGGTTGTGTGTTATGTATCCCTCTGCTGATCTGCTGATTGCTTTCTCCACTGGGGAACAAGTGATTTATTAATTGAAATGACCTTCACTTTCCTGAAGCTTATCTGTCCTGGCTTCTACCAAGTAAATTGTGTCCACTCTTCCCAAAGCATCAAAGAACAAACTGCCCACATGTCCTCAGACCACTGTTCTCACACATCCCTGTCTTGCCCCTGGTGGAGAGCTCTGAGGAGTACTTGGCGAGGGCAGACCACAGGCTGGTCTCCTCAGAAACCTGGGGAGGAAGCTTCACCAGTCTCTGTTCGAGGCTGGTCTCACTTCCATTTTCTACTGACCTTGCAAATAACCAAAAGACATACACCAATGTCCAGCTGGGCTGTATTAGTGCATGAGGCAAAATGCAAAATGAACGATACATGGATATCCGTGCTGCCTTTATTTAAAATTTTGATATTTGATTGACTGTGGAATTTGGGCGTTAATTTAGGTTTTTGAAATACATTGCATCAAAACTGATTTATCTCAATTACTGAAATTGTTTTACATTCCCTTATATTTTATACTAAGTCCCAGCCCCAATACACAATCGCTGAGGAGTGAGGAAGCTGTGGGTATTTGGGCTTCAACTCCTGTCCTCTTTGGCTGATGGGGCTCAGGGAGCAGTAATTCACTCCATGGCACTTTCAGCCTGTCCCCTGTGCAGGGCAGAGGGGCACCATCAACGTCGTCCACAATATCCATCTTGGACCATAACTGTGGCCAGAGAGAAGACGGGATGATTGGCAGTTCTTTCCCCAAATCGTGTCATTTGAAGGAGCACTTCCCAAAGAGGGCATCATATTCCAAGTGGAGCTGTGACTCAGGAACACCCAGAATAGCCCTTTTTTTTTGGATGTCCTGGGCCAGTGTGTTCCCATTTTTTTTCTTTGAGAGTGTTTGAGTGACATCCTTGTTACTTGAAACCAGAATCCTAACCCTTTTCAGGCTGATGGCTGAGGACCCTGTGGCTCTGGCAGGGTGCATCAGGATAGGCACAACATAGGGGCTGGGCCTGTCGAGTTTCCCAGGCTTGAAACATCTCTGGGACTCCACTTCTCTGACTTGTCAAGGAAAGCATCCTTGGGGCTCTGCGGTGGCTCGTGTGAATCAGGACTAACAATAGCAACAGCCTTACATTCCCATGGCACTTTATGGTTCTGAGTCATGTCCACCCACTTCTTTCTTTCCTGAATAAGAGATTAAAGATGCAAACAAGGCAAGTCATAGAATCCCCATTTCACAGACGAGGAAACGGTGATTTCCAGAGACCAGTAACTCCTCAGAGGTAAGTGGTGACACAGCACCTTGCCTTTCACTACACCAGACTCAAATGAGCAAAGATACAGAAAAACTGGGCCTGTTTTAGAGCAGATACATTACTTCCCTTTTTTTTCTGTTAGCATCAACCTTATTTCATTGTTTCCATTTCATTATTTCTGTAAGGAATGATGAGTGATTGTTGGTGCTTCTCAGGGAGAGGGACCTTGTCCTTGCCACCTAAGCTCCAATTCCTCCCTGGTTTCTGGAGGTATTTGTGCTAGTCCATGTTTTTGAATCACAGGAATACTGAGAAAGAAGAACTCAGAAAATTTCCAGCATCAGGAGCGGAAGGAAATCTAGAAGAAGATTGGAAAGGTAAGAATAGATGTACTATCCATTTATTAAACTTATAGTGTGCCAACTGCTAAGCATCTGTTTAGCAATAGTGTGGAGTAAGTGTTGTTCCCTCTGTTTTGGAGATAAGGAAAATGAAATTCAGGAAGATGAAGGGTCTTATTCAGTGGTGGGCTGGGGCAGAAGCCCACGTCTGCCTGAGTCCCACACCCCTGTTCCTGAACCGCATGTGCTGGGTCCAGCTGGAAGGGACGCCTGGTGGCGTTGCAGTTAACATCATAAGCTCAGTAGAATGTCTGATCTTTCTGAAGGCATCCTTTCCCTCTCCTGCCCTCCAGGTGGGCACCAGGGTTCTTTGTCCTTTTGCAGATAGGAGGAGAAGTAGCACAAGTCCTAGAGAGAGAGCAGGTTGGTGGCATTCGGGACAGTGAGAGAAGGATGTCTAAGAGAATGTGGGGTATGAGACAAACAGGAGAGGGAAGATGCTGGGGTGGGCGTGTTGCACATTCGATTCCCATAACATCAGTAGGCATGTGCATTATTTTTTGCTTATTTGGAAGGTACAAATTTGAACATCAATCTGCTAGAGACTCCAACATGTGAGACAATGGGGTATCATAGGTCAAACTGAGCAGCCCTGAAGGTGTCCAGGTAAGGATAGGGCAGCCACCCACTAGCAATGTGGGTGAGGGGATCCCAGCATGGACGGGAAGAGAGATGGACCCCCATACCTTTGCGATTTTGCATATCTCCAGATCTCCCACTCGGCCTAAGGTGGAGGCAGCCCAGACACTGGGCTCATCCCTGCCACATGTTGTCCCCCTCCTGCCTTGTCAAACGTTAATCAGCCCCCCCCCACCGCCTCCCACCCCATCTTAATTATTTGCAATGATCCGCGATAGACACATAAACAACTCCACAGCTTGAAATTCCCCCCGTCAGGCAAATCTGAAGTTATTCACATTTTTCTTGCAGATTTTTCATGAAGCGAGTTGCTGATGAAACGACTCTCAGATGCCTTCACGGTTTTACGCGGGGGGATTCTGTCCTTCCCCTTTAATGGGTGTGTGTCTTCATGCCTCAGCAACACTGAGCGTTCTCCTTTCCTGTTTATGTTTATTTTGGAAGGAAAATGTGTTTACAAAATCAGTTAAAAAGTGTTAATGATCAGTTTCCAGAATACTAATGTGAATTTAAATTACTTTCACATGAATCAAGACAAATTAAAAAAAAAATGCCATTTGATCATAAACTGTTTGAAATTCATGTTGTAAGTAGTGCAGCAAATCTGGATTTTTTTTTTAAGCACAGTTTAAAATAACCATTCTGCTGGTATGAAGAAGTTCAGAGAAAAAAGTCTCTTCCCCAGAGGAAAGACATCAACTTTGGGGCATTTGCACAGGAGAAGGTTCTGGGTGAATATACCACTCACTTCCCAGAGGAATAATAATGTTTCTAATTGTTCAAATTTGGATTGAAGGGGAAACACAAGTGATTTGCATCTGTGTTGTCCACTACCATTTCTCCAGTGTCTAGGACAGAGTTTGGCCCCTTGAAGGCACTCAATAATATTTTCAGAATAAATGAATGAATAAAATCAGCCATATGAATTTTAATTTTTTTTGGAGGGGGTACTGGAGATTAAACCACTGGACAATCAATCACTAAGCCACATTCTCAGCTCTTTTTATATTTCATTTAGAGACAGTGTCTCACTAAGTTGCTTAGGGCCTGCCTAAGTTGCTGAGGCTGACTTTGAACTCGCAATCCTCTTGCCTCAGCCTTCCAAGCTGCTGAGATTACAGGCATGCATCCCCTTGCCTGGCTAAAATAGTTTTAAAATATATATATATTTTCTAATGTGGTGCTGAGAATTGAACCCAGTGCCTCACACATGCTAGGCAAGTACTCTACCACTGAGCTACAATCCCAGCCCTGAATTAGAAAATTTAATCCAGTATTTGTTTCAAGCTAGTATAAATATCAGGAAGTTTCTAGCAAGATAGAGTAGAAGAAGAAGAGCCACTGTACGGAGAAACCACCAATTCCACATCATAATCCTCCTCTCCTGCCCATGTGGGTGATCCAGTAAAGTTGCTTCTGCTGTCAGTGGGCTGGGACACAGGGACTGTGTTGGCTTAAGTATAGCCTTTGCAGAGTCACAACTGCTGATTTCCTGGTTTTAACTGCTGATTTCCTGGTTTTAACTGCTGATTTCCTGGTTTTACCTATTTGCTATTTTTTAGAGGTTCTATCTCTCATCTGAAATGAAGATAGAGACTTCTGGGGTGACTCTGCCACTTCTGGGCTGTAGGAAGGTATCTTCCTTCCCCAGCCTCAGATGACCTAAATCAGTGGTTTTCCAGGATTTCCTGGGCTTTGAAGAGAACAAAACAGGACTGGGGTTGAGGGAGGAAGAAGGGCTAGCTGGCCCATTGGACGGAGCCCTCCACCTCCTCCACTGCATCCCTGTCTTGTTGGGATTCCACACGTGGTTGCAGGAGGAAATTTTGTTTGATGAACATCTTCAGGTGTTATTTAAATATCATTAATCCACAAAGCTCAAGAATCTGGCAAAGAGTGGGGTTGTGGTTCCCACCAGTTCCCCAAGGGACCATCTACCTCTAAGTTAGTGCGCACAGGGAAACAGGCTGTGGCCTTACAGGGTGATGCGACTCTAGTTGGTCTAGCACGTTTTTGCAAAAACTTCCATTTTTTTCTAATTGGGAATGTGGCTATATCCGGGCCTTGGTTCTACCTCAATGGGACGCAGAAGTGGGTAAAACTTGACAGAGATGTTCTGAATGTCACCCTTACCGGGCTGCCAGGCGTTCTTTGGCTCTTGGCACCCAGAGCAGCATCTGATAAGCCCATTCATAAGCACCTGTACGAAAGTCCAAATATATCCTTCAAAAAGCGGGGGGGGGGTGGTGGTCAGAGAAAGAAGTGAGCCAAGGGATTTGCTAATAGAGGGGAAATGGTGGTTCAGGAGCCTGGTAAGTATGTACCTCTTCCTAGAAGTTCTGGGATCTGAGACCTGCTTCCTATCTATCCCAACTATCACTTAGATTCCAGGCAGGAAGGACATAACTAGGTGCCAAGTGACCCACTTGTCACTCATCAGCCTCTCAAGGTAGTACAATATAAGGGGAAGTAGCTTTGGACTCAGGCTGATTTGGACCATATCCCCTCTCTGCCACCATCTGAGTTTGGTGACCCTGAGGTGTTTGGATCACCCTTCTCTGAACTTTAGTTTTCTTCACCAGTAAAGATGCAGTAAAATCCAGGCATGGTGGTACATGCCTGCCATCTCAGCTACTTGGGAGGCTGAAGCAAGAAGATCACAAGTTCAAGAGCAGCCTGGGCAGCTTATTGAGACCCTGCTTCAAAAGAAAATTTTTAAAAAGGACTGGGAAGGTATCTAAGTGGTAGAGTGCTTGCCTGGCATGTGTGAGGCCCTGGGCTCCATCCCCAGCACTGCAAACACAATGACAAAAAAAGCACAGTAAGAATACTTACCTCCAAAAAATCAGAATTAAAATTTGGAAAATTTTTGATACTCAATAAACGATGGCTCTTACTGTGAAATCCTACTATCTCAACCCCCCATTTTGGAAGAATGTACTTCTAGTTCTAACGGGGAGACATTTTGGATTTTAAGTAAAATCTATGCTGTGTTAGAAGGGATAGGTGCTTTAGGGAAAAATAAAGCATAAGAGAAAAACCAAAGGTTCTGCGGAGCTTAAGGGGAGTCCCATTTATGGACCTAAGAGCAAGAATGTCTTCCTCACCACCTCTCCCTACTTCGCCAAAGAGACTTTGCTTCTCAAGTGAATGTATACAGGAAAGGGGAATCGAGACAGGTTGTTACGTGAAATCGAGAAACCTTGTTACGTGGTTGCATCTCTCTTTGACTCTATTTCTTTCTTTTTTTTTCAAGAGAGAGAGAGAAAGAGAATTTTAATATTTATCTTTTAATTTTTGGCGGACACAACATCTTTGTATGTAGTGCTGAGGCTCCAACCCAGGTGCACACATGCCAGGCGAGCGCGCTACCGCTGGAGCCACATCCTCAGCCCTTGACTCTATTTCTTTAACTGTAGATTGGAGATAAGAGTCCCTGCCTGATGTGCATGAACCAGAGAGGCTTCCTGGGTTTGTGGGATTCTCAGGTTACCAAGGATCATCAAGGTGCAGCCATGGGAGGCTGCTGTCCTGGGAGGTGGAACCATAGAAGATATAAAGGAAGTGCTCATCTCACTCTACTCTGTCCTGTCTCCCCTGCATGCCTGTGAGCATACACACATATGTACACACACACACACACACACACACACACACACACACACCCCTGAGTTGTCAGGGTCTAGAGTGTTGTCTTTGGAAGCAGAAGTCATCCCACGACAAAAGGAACATACTTGCTCATGCTGAGAGGGTCTAGGGAGCTTCTCCATCAGGAACGGCTGGCTGCCTCTCCATGTCCTTCCTCTAAGGATGCTCCAGGATGAGCACCGTTCAGCATTGCCTGGCTCCGAGGTGCCATGGGCTGTTGTAAATTGCTGACAAGCAAATGCACAGTCCCGTGCTGTATACATTTACTGTACCATATAAATAATCAACTCTAATAACTCCCTCCCTCTCTCACCATTCCCCCCATCCATTTTCTGGCCATTTCTGGAACTTTCATCACATGCAGACCCTGTCGCTGACTTTTATTGCTGGCCGCTCATGCAAGATGAGAAATCATTGTTGTCTCATAAATAGCGCCAGGGTTTTTTTTTTTTTCTTTCTCTCATTGAAAAGTTATTTCAATTTAATCTAAATCCTCAACAAGCAGGAAGTATTTAAATAAAATCATCCTCCATTCATCTGATGAAATTATGCAACCATTAAGAATCATGATTTTGAAAGCTATTCAACAATACTGCAGAAACAAGCCCACATGATTATGTTAGGTTAAAAAAAAAATGCACAGAACCATATATCCAGCCCAATCCGATTTACGGTGCATTTCTATGTAGATTTATGTATGCGCATTAAAAGAGGTGTCAAGAAAATGGTTGAGATGTGATTTCTGAGTGGGATGGGAGTGGGTGGTTTTATTTTCCGCATTTTGTTTTTCAAATTTTCCCTAATGTACATTTGGGATCTGTAATATAGGTTCATTCTTTATTTTAAAATTTTATATTTAAACGATATTTTCATTAATTTATTTTTAATGGCGATTTCTTTGTTTAAAACACTTCAAGTTGTTCCTACACATAGAACAATAAAATCACCAGCCTGCTGGGGGCAGGTGTGTTGGGCAGCCTCCCTCTGCACCGGTGATGCTGACTCTTGACTCTTGAGGGAGGCTGCTTCTTTAGTCTTGGGTTTGTTTTGTTTGTTTGTTTTGTTTTGTTTGGTACTAGGTATTGAACCCAGGGGCTCTTAACTACTAAGCCAGATCTCCAGCCCTTTTTAATATTTTATTTAAGACAAGGGTCTTGCTGTGTTGTTTAGGGCCTCACTAAGTTGCTGAGGCTGGCTTTGAATTCGCGATCCTCCTGCCTCAGCCTTCCAAGCTGCTGCAATTACAGGTGTGCCGCCATGGCTCCCAGCTAGGCTCTTTGTTTTATTTATTTATTTTTTCCTCTAAAATAAGAAGCATTCTATCTCCGACATTTCCAGTCCTGCTTAGAGAGACACAGCAAGTGTATTTTTTTTGTTTTCAGATTTACATCCACCTACGAAATTGCCCTAGGAAAGCCCCATCACTCACAGGAACCATCGCCGAGGAGGACGGGACAATCTTATTTAGATAATTTTTAACAAATCTCAAATGTTGCCCGCATCTCCTGAAGCCGGGAGGAAGGATAATCAAGTCAAGCCCCATTGACTAGGAGAATGGTGTGCGGTGGGAAATGAGTTCTCCAACTCACAGGGCCACAGATCTATTTAAATAACGCTTCATTATTCAGATGCGCTCACAGTCTGCTTCCCTGCTGTTCGCCTGCCCAAGGGGTTGTCCCTGCTTCCAGGGAACCTGCAGCCCCCTGGATGGGCCTCCTGTGTGTCCACCGTATGCATCTTCATAGCAGCTCCGAGAGGGTCAGACACAGTGAGCTGCTGTTTTCATTTTATAAATGGGGAAACTGAGGCTGACAGTTGCTTGCCAGGATTATGTGCCCATCAGGGAGAGCTGTACCCCGGTGTCCCCTCTCTCAGACCATGGCTTCTCATCACTGACAGCATCTCATGTACCAAACTGCCCTACTCCGGTCCGTCTGTAGAAGATGAGATTCTGCTTCACAAAGATGCTTAAAAACAAACGTTAAACAAAAAGTAACAGCAACAACACAGACTACAAAAAAATAAAAATTAAATGTAAAAACTGAGTGCTGGTTTTGAATTTTAGGCAACTTACCAGGGTGGCACCCTGCTTCTAGTGTGGTCAAGGTGGGACAAAGGGGAGTGGTTGAGTAATACAACAGAAATAAGGGCTGGGGGCATAGCTCAGTTGGTAGAGTGCTTGCCTCCCAGGCACAAGGTTCCGGGTTCAATCCCCAGTACCACATGCACACATCCAAGATTGGCAAGTCTTACTGTATGTTAATGTCA